GGTGTATAAAATTTCTCAAAGAATTAATAAAGAGGCTCGACGCAATACTTGCGTGTCCTACTTCGTGTATGTGAACTATTCACCGCGAATACTTATCGAAACGCTGCTTTTCTCCCCGGTGTGAAAGTGCCCTCCTCCTCCCCCTCTCTACCCTTCTTCCCTTTCCCCTTTCGATGAAATTTTTTTTAATGAATAACGAGACGTGTATATCAAAACTACTCCGATTTCAGAAGCTGCAAATCAAATATCCGCGAGACGATATGAGGAAATGGAACGCCGAGAGCGGAAGGAAACTCGCGGCACGAGTTGAATATTTCCGCGCAATTAGTAGCAGCTTTGCTTGTACGTGAAAGCGGCAGTAAATTAAATCAGCCGTTAGAGCAAAGAAACAGAAAGCAACCTCTCGGCGATATATAGTAGACTCGTGTATATATCAACCTATAATTGCGCAGCGTTATGCAAAAGTGAATTAACTCGGTACGATCATTTTGAGTAAATTAATTAAAACGACTTGCGAACAAGAGCGCGTAATATACATATGTACATTTTTTTTTTTAAATTATGCCTGAATGCTTAAAGAAGTAATGCATGGAGGAAATGGATTTTAATATGCGTCGCACGTAAAATGTAACTGGTGGAAAACATTATGCATATGCTAATTAAAACGCGGAATTTATTTATATATATTGTCTCTTCCTCTTCCATCTTTTTTTTCTTCGAGTCTGTAGCTTGTTCTTCGATTTCAAAAAGGGATTAATAATTCAATTAGTTTTTGTACGCAACGTCGCGTCCATTAAAAATCTCATCGACGTACATATGTCACAGACGCAAAATGCAAAGTTATATAAGAAGTGTATTAATGATGGAAGTTATCTTGTTTTATATTCTTGATTATCTCGAGTTTTTAAACTTTAATGGACTCACGACTAGGCTGCAACAGCGAAACCCGTAACGCAAGTTTAGGTTAATGTTATATGGTCAGACGGTCATAAATAAGGCACACCAGATGACAAAAAATCAGCGCTACTTTGAAAAGTATAATAATTATTATAGACAAGTCAAATTGCTGCGCAAATTTGCCGCAATTTTCCTAATTTTCTCTCATTTGAATTCCCCACCGCAGATATATACTGTGTATCGTTTCGAACAATCGCGATATATATATATATATATATATATATCCTTTCGGTATTTCTACTTTGAAATAAGCACGATGCTTGATCGAGACGATTAGCAATTCTCTAGTTAATGGGAGCAACGTATGAGCAACACATAAACACGTATGTACATACGTTATACAACGTCGATCCGCACCGGTTTCGGTTCGTGCATACGAGGAGATTGTAAATATTGAAAACGAAAGTTTTATTTCTCTCTCCGCCCGTTTAAAACGTACACTCGCATTTCTCTTCCTACATCCGCGCTGCTCTCTTACGTATATTTGTTCTTACGTATAACCATAGCGACTACTAGTTCTGTGTCCAAGGAACGCATTATTCTCGCAAATTCATCAATAGCAATTAGCCGGAAATGTAATCGGATCTTTTTTTGGCGGACTGGTAAAAAATAAAAAAAAATGTGAAAGCGGAAATTATGCGAAATTATTGTATAAGAATGAACGCGGATTTTAATCTGGGTTGCGAGGACAACGGGAAGAAGAACGGAAGATTCCGCTTCCTTCTTCTAGAAAAAAATATATATGTATATATACAACACGCAAACGTTTCGTTTCTCGAGACTAGCGAAGAGAGTTGAGTCTCTTCTGGTGAGAAGAAACGAGAGTGATTAAATCTCTTTCGCTTTCAACGCTACGCGCTGCACAAACGAGTCTAACAACGGAAGAGGTAGGTAGGGTGTGCTCTCTTTTCATGTAACGCGAGGCCTGGAATCGCTCGGAGCACACGATTGTTTGGCAAACAACCGCGCTCCGTGCGACCGCCACGTGCTTCGCGACGATGAGACACGTACAGGTGTACTTTCGATTCTTCGTGATAGCGTACATTGAGAAATCAAAGTCAGGTCGATTAATAATATTTTCAGAATATTTAGAGAATGTTTACTCGCGAATCTCACGATTACTCCGAGATGAAGCACGAGTAATCGAGAGAACTCGAGGAGAATTTTTGCAGTGTCTCGCCATCTCTTTATTTTTAGGTAAAATGCAAGATTAGAATAAGCGAAGGCGATAAATAAATATTCTTTGACGGGATACCATCGAGAAATCAAAATCAGGTCGATTAATAATATTTTCAGAATATTTAAAGAATGTTTACCCGCGAATCTCGCGATTACTCCGAGATGAAGCACGAGTAATCGAGAGAACTCGAGCAGAATTTTTGCTTGCCATCTTTTTATTTTTAGGTCTTGCCATCTTTTTATTTTTAGGTAAAATGCAAGATTAGAATAAGCGAAAACGATAAATAAATATTCTTTGACGGGATACCATCGAGAAATCAAAATCAGGTCGATTAATAATATTTCAAGAATATTTAAAGAATGTTTACCCGCGAAACTCGCGATTACTCCGAGATGAAGCACGAGTAATGGAGAGAACTCGAGCAGAATTTTAGCTTGCCATCTTTTTATTTTTAGGTCTTGCCATCTTTTTATTTTTAGATAAAATGCAAGATTAGAATAAGCAAAGGCAATAAATAAATATTCTTTGACGGGATACCAACGAGAAATCAAAATCAGGTCGATTAATAATATTTTAAGAATATTTAAAGAATGTTTACCCGCGAATCTCGCGATTACTCCGAGATGAAGCACGAGTAATCGAGAGAACTCGAGCAGAATTTTTGCAGTGCCTTGCCATCTCTTTATTTGTAGGTAAAATGCAAGATTAGAATAAGCGAAGGTGATAAATAAATATTCTTTGACGGGATATCATCGAGAAATCAAAATCAGGTCGATTAATAATATTTTAAGAATATTTAAAGAATGTTTTTACCCGCGAATCTCGCGATTACTCCGAGATGAAGCACGAGTAATCGAGAGAACTCGGTCAGAATTTTTGCAAAGTCTTTCCATCTTATTTTTACGTAAAATGCAAGACTAAAATAAGCGGAAGTGATAAGTGAATATTCTTTAACGCGATACCATCAAGAAGTTAGGTCGATCAATAATATTTTAAGAATATTTACTCGCGAATCTCGTGATTACTCCGAAATGAAGCACGAGTAATCGAGAGTACTCGATCAGAATTTTTGCGCAAAATTTTCGCAGCAATTATAATACACACTGGAAAAAATTATTAAATTAATAAATATTTATTTAAATACTGCTGCTATATTAAATCATTTATTTGAAACAAATTAATATTTTACGTAAAATAATATTTATCTGTTTTGAAAAGGATTTTCTTATATTAAATAAATATTTTTCACATCAAATCAATATTATTAGTTAAATAAATGATTTATTATGCAGTATTGAAATAAATAATTATTTAAATTCAATAATTTTTTTTTTAATGCATTATTTACTGAGAGTAATCGTAAAATCGCTAGTGTCTTTTCATCTTCTTATTTTTATATAAAATGCAAGAACATGCACTAGAATAAGCAATAAGTGACATTCTTCGATATCATAAAGAAATCAAAATCAGATCGATTAATAATATTTAAAGAATATTTACTCGCGAATCTCGCGATTACTCCGAAATAAAGTACGAGTAATCCAGTAATCGAGAAAACTCGATTAGAATTTTTGCGCAAAGTTTTCTCAGCAATTATAATACATTACTGAAAGTAATCGTAAACTCGCCAGTGTCTTTGAATCTGCTTATTTTTACGTGCAAAATGCAAGACTAGAATAAGCGGAGGCGATAAGTGACATTCTTCGTTGCATTCCTAATCGATAGTTTTGCAACGTCGCCAAGAATGCTATCTGCTTAACTCCTTTAGGCTTGTAATTTCACGTGATATTTTTTAATTAGGTATTTATTCCAACTATTCGCGATATTATGTAAGCGTTGTGCCAGATAGACGCACTCTGTGTGGTCTGCAGGATATAGTAATTGACTTATTCGGGTATTATGTGTGGAAATCGCGACGTATTTAGTAGATTCTCAACGTTAAAATGTCTGATATACTATTAAAAACAATTTTCTCTAATATAGATATAATTTATATTGATTCATAATAATTACGATGTTAATTTATTTTAGCAGCTTGATAATTTATGATTAAATAAATGTAATTTAATTAAAAATGGAAGTCATGGCAAAAAACACAAAAATCAGTTACTTAAAGTTTATGATCTCGAGATCTTTTTTGCATAAATCTGATCCTATTAATGTCGAGCTTTTTTGTAAAATTGATACTTATACACTGTAAAAAAATATGTAAGATTACATAAATAATAAGTGTAAAATTATAATATAAATAATGAAATTGTACACATTTTCATTATTTATCGTGTAATTTTATTATTTATATAATTTTACATATTTTTAATATATTATATATTTTTTACAGTGAGTTGCAATACTTTGCCCAGTTTTATCACAATTATTTAGCACAATTTAAAAAAGGAGATTCTTCACATAAATAATTCATACAATGCTGCATTTCATTTCAATCAATTGTCCATCGACAATCGAAGAACATTTCGAAATCATTAATTAATTAAATTATCATTAAATCATTAATTAAATATATATTTGAAATAAAAATAATTGTTGAACGTTCATGAGTTTATTATTGCATAACCTTGATTTTCTTCTCAAAATCCATTAAATCATTTATTCAAAACAAATAAATATTGATCTGTTTTGAAAAGGATTTTCTTATATCAAATAAATATTTTTCACATTAAATCAATATTATTAGTTTCAAATAAATGATTCATGAGTAAAATATTGAAATAATTTCCAGAGACTGGATTTAAAAGCGAGCTCTGCGATCGCGTGTCTCCTGGACTCGCAGATGAGTTTCTGATACGAAAGTCGAATTGTGCGACTTGTGTACGTCGCGATGAAGATGAGAAGGAGTACTTACGTCATTTATAGTCGGTAGGAGTGGAGCTTCGTCGATCGGATGCGCGATCTGTCACGGTCCTCATGTTTCCATCGCTGCGGCCGACGAGATCTTCAGCATCGTCACGATGAGACGAACCTAACGGAGGAGTCGTCCTAATGTAAAGCCGCTTTTCTCTTCACACACGTATATACGACGTGCATGGACGATCCCGTGGCGATAGATCGGCGTTTCGCGTGTTGCTACTGCTGCTGCTTCTTCTTCTTCTTCTTCTTCTTCCGGCGTGAGGGTTTCCGGCAGCTGTTTTCTCGCTTCCGCGTGATTCCGTACGCATCAATTTCCGTATGATCACTGTACACCAACACACTGTCGCAGGAGAGAGAGATGGTTTTTATCCTCGTCGATGGTCTACGATTAAGATTCACGATCGCCGAATTTCGCGAAACTCCGAGGCTCTTTGCATTCTCGACGAAGAGAGGATGAAGGCTGATGGATCGAAAATCGGATGTCTCTCTCGCTTGAAGTATCTCCTAATAAAAAATACAAGAGTCGTGTAAATAAGTGATTAAAATAAAAAAGGATAAAAATATATATGCGAGAAGCTTAAAGCAAAGCGGAAATTGATTCGAGATCGAGAGAGTTTATGTTCATCGAATGCACCTCGACGTCAGAATGCAAAGAGTCGGGGAAAATTCGAGCTTTTTATTCGGTCAGACTCCGACGACGCGGGAATGGAGAGACACAAAACTCGATTAAGCGAGGAAAAAGAAAAAAAGGAAGAACGATCGTTTAAAAAAAACTCGTCTTCCCAGTTACGCAAAATCGCGGACGCTCGGCTTCGGTCACCAGAAATAAAAATTGCGCGACTTTTACGCCGAAACGCGAAGAAGAGGAATGCGTCGATTTGCATTAATTACCGGAAGAAGATATGACTGAAAGTTTAATCGCGATGGAATGCAAAGATATCTCATATCTCTCTCTTTCTCTCTCCTTTTCTCGTAGTTAGATAACACATTTTTTTACATTTATATATCGATCGTTCTTTTTTAATTGTTATATATATTACTACATATTTTTTTATACCACTCTCAAAATACTTTCAACAATTTTTAAAATGAAATTTTTATACGGAAACGTTGATTGAGCACAATAAATATAAGAAAAATAATTAATAATCTTACAGGTTATGTGCAGTGTTAAATGCGCGCCGATCGCGTTGCGAAAAGGAAACGTTTTTTTTCCTCGCATGCATAAATTATTTATGTAAAGTATATAGACATATTTCGCTCTCGAGTTTCAAAGCACGTAGAAAATTCAGCGAATACCTGTTATATCTTCCTCGCGATAACGTTATATCGTTACACATGGAAGCGTCTCTGCTAGATTATTTCTCTCGTTATTTCCTAGCACTTGTAAAATATACACGGTTTTCCGAGAAATGACAAACGAGATGAACTCTCTCTAAATCGAAACCGAGGTAATCCTTTTAGGCGTGAATCCGATTATCGATGTCACGGACATAAAGAAAACGCGCGGAGAGATCCGTTCGGCTCGCGCGCACTCGCTGCACTCGCGGCAGAAATTGCACTCGCAGCTGCGCGGGACAACTCGGGAGTGCAGAAAAACGCGGGAAAAATTATTATTATTATTATTATTATAGTCGCGCGACTTCTTGCTATATATATATATACCCAGGTAAAACATCAAACTCATAATGGCGTCATCATGATTTTATTCATCACTTCAAAACTATCTGAACAAAAATGATTCAAGAATGATTTAAAGATGACAAAAGGAATTATACATTTAAAGCTCCCTAATATAATTGTTTTATGCGATTTTCAACAAATTTGTTATTTGAATATGCGTGTAAGCAATAAAATAAATAAATAATTGTAACATAAAAATGTGTTTATGTCATTACGAGGTTTTTATATTCTATCTGTGTATATAGATACACTCTTGCATCATAACTCACCGTAATATCTCGTCGCAATTATAATTCCTCTTGATCCATAACCTGTGCAACTAATTTACACGCGCGCACGAATTACACGTCTATCTTGGACACGACGGACACATCTACTCCCGCGACACCCTAGACGCCGCCGACGACGCCGACGACGACGACGAACTACCCGGACAACGAGACGGACGGAAACGCGCGCGCGCGGCGCCGATTTGAAAATTTCCCTCGCTGGCGCCTGGACGATGACAGGTGGAGGTGCACACGCGCGCGCCGCGCGGAGATTCGAAATTTAATGCGAGTGCGCGAGCGGACTCGGTGTAACTGCGGACGACGGTGGCCGTCGACGTCGGCGGGTGGCAAGAGTCCTCGCGGGAGGAGGTGGGGACCCCGAACCGTGGGGAAAGAAGGACCGCGATCGCGATCGTTACACGGCCGTGCACGCGCACAGGAGAAGGCCGTCTCCGAGAGAGAGAGATGGAGAGAGACCTGCGCGACGAGACGCGCCGTCACCGTCTGACATGAAAGGAACGTCCGACATACAGAAATCTTTTTTTTTTTTTTTTTTTTTTTTTTTAAACTAGAGCGTAAAGCGTCTACCACATCTCGAACTCATAGACTTTAGATCAGAGCAGCTATTAATTATGTATATCTATTGGGGAAATCATTTTAATTTCCCTAGATTTTTTATTATATTATCTAGGAAAAAGGAAATTAAATTCAGATCGGAAATCTTTCCGAAGTAGTTTCATAATAGATAATATAATATAATAAGATAATATGAATGTAATAAGAATATAATGATACATAATAAAAAATGTAGGGAAAAATGAAATTATTCCGATCGGAAATGTTTCGAATAAATACATAACGCGTTATGAGAATTATTACTTCAACCGAGAATTATTACTTCAAAAAATTACAAGATGCCTATCTAAACTTTAATTAAGAATAAAAAATAATTTTGTAATTGCAAAAATAATTTTTGTAAATAAGATAAAGGATGGTAATAGCGCGCGATTTAAGAGAGAAAAGTGCATAACCTTAATAAATTGAATAGATACCTGCGTTCGTCGACGTTTCGATGTAAAATGGCGCCTTCTTTGAATTCATCGATAAGTCGACTCGAGAGAGATGCGCAGTCGGAAGCGATATGTGAACTACTGCGCAATTAATTGATACGGCTCTACCGGTAAATTTAAAACATGTGTCGGCTTGATTCTAAAAACATATAAACGTTCTTTTTTATGACTATACGAATTATACAATTGTTATAACATAGCAAAATATAATCTCAAAGATATCTGCTACGGATATCTATAAGATTATCAGATGCTCGTTTCAATTTTATATGTATATAATTTAAAAGAACACAATTATATATAAATATATATAAATATACATATTTAAATTTATAAATAATATTTATAATATATATATATTATAATAGAAATAGATATAAATATATATAAATATAATATTTAAATTATAAATAATATTTATAATATATATATATTATAATATAAATATATATAAATATATATATATATATATAAAATATTTATATATATAAATATCTGTGTACAAAAATCAAATATATATATATATATATATATATATATATATATAATTATTTAAAAATTAATCCTTCATTCTAATACCTTGAAATAAAAATGTTACCATTGACAATGAATTTAGAAAAAAAATGTTACACGTGTATAGGACATTCATTCATTTATATATTCATGTAACACGGTTACATCCATTTCAAGGTGTTGAATTATAACCCAATCTTCAATGAAATTGGGAAATATACAAGGATAACAAAAACGAATCGCGGAAATTTATAAATTATGGGCAACTTACCGCGCACAAGACGAATTATTTATCCACGAATTACATCCACGGTTGGACGGCCGCTTACAACAAGTTGCGCAACAAGTAAATGGGTAATAACCTCGAATTGAAAGATTTCCTTTCAATTTCGTGTCGCACAGAGATACGGATGACGGCGAGCTTTATTGAGAAAGCGTTTCCGTCATATACCTTACGCGAGACGGTCCTTGTAACAGAGCTTAGTTTCCAATTTTACCTGACAGATAGAGATACCTAATACATGAACCTTTCGCATCAAAGACCGACTCGTCGATTTTACATTTGTTTTGCAATTTAATTAAAAGGCATGGGCGTCCGCAGAAGAATGAGACAAGAAGGACCATTTGCCCTCTCTTGGAATCAGTAAAAAAATTAAGCGTTCATTCTCCTTTTGAATAAACACTGGGATTTATTTATATGTATATTTAATATAAAAAAATTAAAAATAAAGAAAAAAGAAATAAAAAATGTAATCATCCCCTTCTGGAAAAAATTCTGCGGACACCCATGTTAAAGATGAATTAATTTTAATTATCCCTATCTCTCTTTATATCGTTTTTCTTTTTCGATTAAATCATTTTAAAAGCTATCTCGCACGCACAGACTATGTTGAGAAACGCTCGCAGTGTTGAACATTTATAAAACTAATACCAATCGCGTGATAACGCGCGATCTTCGTTCTACGAGAGGAAACGGATTGCGGGATCGCAGAGAGAATTGCAGGCTTTCGCGTAGCCGGAAGTGTGTCTAAACTTCGCGTGACCGGTTGGGTTGCGCCGCCAAGTCCCAAGTCGAGGTTTAGAGTCTCGAACGCGGATGGATTTGGACATGACTCTCGTAGAGAGTCGAACGCGTATAATGGCGGGGGTGTCGAGTGAAGGGGGCAGAGAGGACCTAGAGGAGAGGAGGAAGAGACAGATAAAAGATATATAAATGGAGAAAAAAAAAAAGAGAGAGATACGAAGGAGTGGTATAACGGCGTGGGCTCTGAGTCCCGGTGATCGTTTTCCGGTTTTCCGTTCTCGCAAGGCACAATTCCACCTCCTCTCTGCGTCCTTCTCTACCTCTCCCTCAACTGTCTGTCTTTTTTCTGTCTGTATCAACCTCTCTCGAGCGTTCGAGACCCTCCGCTCTTGTCCTGTCTCGCGCGAGAGGGAAAGTATTTTATATCACGCTTGGCTTGGCAAGAGAAAGGGGACACGGTTCGCTCCTAATTTCTGTGCTTTAACTTCGTGAACCTATATATCGTGTAACTCGACGCCGTGCTCGAATTGTTGCACGCTCTCGCCGCGAGTTTACGTGAACTTTACGCGATCGAACGCTTAAGCAAGCTCGAGATATTATGCATATTATCGCAAGAAGTCTCTAACGCAAAACCGAGAGATGTAAGATACTTAATGTCGACATTATCTTACGTTCTTAAATTATATTTTATAATCGCTTTCTTTTTTTTACTATATAAATGATGTTAACAAAAACAAGAAGCCTTTACAAGCCCTGTTCTCTCTCTTCTCCTCTTCTCTCCGATCATATTTGACTATAAAGCTTTATAAGTTGATCTAGATTTATAAGTTGATCTTGTGCATACATGATTTTTCGGATAAAATAATATCATGACATTTTCAATATGTAATACTTGGTAGAAATAAAGTGTAATTTGTAATGTTCAATTAACTTCAATGAAAATATAATTTGGAATTTTTTAAAATTAATAATTATGAAGCAAAAACATCTGCCACCGTCCGGAATACAGGGTCCAGACGAGATCTCGAATATGTTTCGCAATTTCTTTATGCAGAATGAAAACAAAGAAAATTCTTCGTCACGTAAATTCGCGCAGCGATGCGGTTGAGATATTAAGATTGATTCCCCGGTTAGTGGAATCGTCGTCGCGCACGCGATGAAATTATTCCTATCCGCGTTGATGAAGAAGCCTACTAGTAACAAAGGCTTCTCAACGGAATCGATCGTTCGAATAAGACGGGAGAGAAAGAGATGCAGCACCAGCAGCAACGGTTCTTTGATACGAGTCTGGCTAAAAGTGAAATCGACTACTATATACGTCATAGCCGGTATTATTATATGTTATTCAAGCCGTGCGGAACGGGCTATCCAAACGGATACCTGAGGCTGCTGTTACGAGAGTTGGAAACGTAACTCGGTCGCCCCGAGGTGGTTCATTGTCTCGTGACATTGATAGAAGCAGCGGTTTCTATTCTCTCGCCCGAGTATATTTCGAGTAAGAAGGATCTGTATCTTCGAATCTTCCTGCGTGTTCCATCGATCCCTTTCTCGGTTCCTTCCCTCGTCGGACTTAGGAGTGTATATAAGCCATCGTGCGCTCCGTTACAGCCATCCGCGTTAATTACGAAAGTGAAAGTATACGGCTCGTTCTCGATGTTGGATATGAAATAAAAAGAAGTATTCGAGCTTCTCTTCTTCTTCTTCGTCTTCGTCTTCTTTCCACCGCGCGGTTTACGTAATCCGCGCTCTTCTGATCTTGTTACACTTTTTCATTCGGACTGACCGCGTCCACGTCTGCGCATGCGCACGTGCGCACATCCGTGAATTGCGCGCGGTCAATGGATGATGAAGAGGCACGTCTCTATAAAAAATTTGCGAATTAGTACCTATATAAAATTAAAAAAAAACCCAATAATATAATTCTACCGAATTCTAACACAGTTATGCGCATTCCAGCACGTCATTTTGACGTTTAATGACGTCAGATTGCTACTTGGGATATTATATAATATTTATACATATACTTACAATAATTAAATATTCAATATTTCACCAAAGTAATTTTAAATTAAGTATTTCATCCATTTCCTTTTTTTTAAGAACTACAGAGGAGTAAAATTTAAATGTATTTTTTGAAAATGTTTTAATTCTATTAAAAATTCGCAATTATACCTAAATTTTGTACAATATTTTTTTCCCATACCATCATCTCCTCGTATGTCATTTCACACTAGTCCTGTCAGTGAATTTCGGTAACCAAAAACCCGGAAACCGAGTTTTTATACGGCCTCTCTCTGTCTCCATTTGCCTCGTAATCAAATTTCTAATTCGATCTCGCAAGATCAATCGACTGAGTCGAGAGAATTTCGTAAAGATTTCACTGTCGCCTCCGGGGTATCGCTCTTGCATGCGTCATTATTTGCTAAAATAATTAAGTAAATTGAACGAAACAATGACACAAGATAATCGAATTTGCAAAGATAATCAATATAATTTTCGAAATTGAAGCAGCTAGGTTACTACGAAAAGCTTTTCGATATGCATCCAACACATTGTGACAGTCGCGTGTAAACAATAATTTTGTACAATATAGAAAAAATTGGTGACGTTGTGTAATCGTTCTCTTCTTATGTTATAATAACGTTGCAGTCTTTCTCTCTCTCTGCCTTCACAATGCATATAGCGGAAATCGTGACTGCACTTTATGTTGCGCTTACGCCATTATTGAAAATTATATTTATACTTCTCTAGTGATAAAGTTGTCTAATTATCCACCGAACCGATGATAATTTGATAAATCGATCGTTGATAATATCGCATGCAGATATTCAAAATTCAAATGCTCAAAATAATAAAATATAGTCCTGAAGAAAAAAAAAAAAAAAAACAAATAAAAATTATAATTTAATTAAATAAAAATAATTTGTATTATAAAAAAATTATATTAAAATTAGATATTAAATAAATTTAACAGAGATAAAAAATAACTATAAATATAATATATATATATATATATATATAAATATTATAATATTATTACATTTTAAAGAAAGAATTTTCATATATAGTGTCTCAAAATAAACATTAGAAGATTCAATAAAAACGTAAATTAAGATTAATCTTTTTGTATTATTTATTATAAGATATATAAAATAATAAAA